TTCGTTTTTAGCCATTTTCCAACTATATAGCACCCTGCTAGCATTTTATACCGAGTACCAAATTATCGTGCTATATGCCCTTAACGATGGTGTATGATGAACGTTGCTCTCGTACCCTTTCATATGTTCTATTAATTCGCTATGATAGGGGACTAACGCTAGGAAAGAAAAAGAACAAGTTATCAGTAATCCAGTAGCCTAACATTTACTAACCGTAGAACCGGTAGAATAGGGTAATAATAGGATTATAGCTACATTATCTTGCCCCGGTGACTCGGCATTTGAGACTCCATTCTTTGGCCGTTCCATGAGATTTTTGAGATCTTGATCAGTTTAGATCCCAATGGATATAGCGCTGATAGCTAGGGTACTGGCTAGAATTCCTGAATCGTATCCCGTTCAGGTGAAAAGGCCCTAATCCCTAGGTGGAAAGACCTAAGTCCCCTAAAGGTTGTTTAACAGGAATATAGTGATTCAAGCGTTGGCTCAGAGACAAGCAATTAGTCACAAGTCATCATTATCCTGTAGAATTCGTATTCCAACGCCTCTACAACTTTGATGTTGTGTTTTTATAGGGTTGTTAGTGAATATTCAACTATTAGAGAAAGACTAGTAGCAATGCTATTTTGAAGGGGTGACTCGAGGAAATAGCTTAATTTCCGTTTCTCACGTGCATTTAGACGGAAATTGAACGGTCACCTGTATCCTCTCTTTGCGCTAAACAGTAAGAGAATAGTGAAAAAAGAGTCCCAAAGTGATTTTTTTGTGATAAATCATTTTAACAGCAGAGATGAACGCTCTTCCTTCGATGCAGCATTGTGGTTCTTATGGTAATCGCTTAATTACTTTTTCTTTCTATATGGGTGTAGCCCTTGAACAATCTCGGAATAATAGTAACCGAAATGGTTTTCTCACCAAGCGGAAGAGAAAAAAAATCTGAACTACGGGCAGAATTGTGTAGCTTGTAGGGTTGTACACTGCTTCGTAAGTTGTAAGTTTGTCAGCAACTGGGATGCTAATCACAGCGTAATTCTACTGGGAGGGCGGGTTTTTCATTTATTTCCATTTCACGGCAAGAGGTTTGCAAAATTAATCGCAAATTTTCGGCTACTAGAAGAAAAGAATCAATCAACTATCAAGAAACCTGCATATGGGGGGAGGGGGCGTAGTTCATGCGACGAGGGGGTTGGGGCATTCAGGCACCTTCGCGCCTTCCACCACTTCCGGAGCAAAGTCTCACTATTGGTGGAACTATGATTTTATAATTTGAGAAAAATCGAGCAATACAGTTCACTCACCATGGAGAACCTGTAGACTCTTGCAAGTTCCGCAAATGCTCTCTAGACGGGATGACAAGTCGATAGGAAGAAAGCAAAAAAGTGCGAAGCTGCTTCACCCCCCCCCCTCCCCGCTCGCCGAACCACCATGGTATAGTTCCAGGTTTAAGAAAATCATAGACAGCTTGAGCAGGTGAGATTAAGCAGAAGTGAACCTAAGTTTTCCTGATAAAGTAACATCATTTGTCGTCCTGGTTCGCTGCGGACGGGGGCGTGTCACTGACAGATGCGTATAATACCGTTGTTGAAGCGAGCAAGTGCGACAAATACACGTAAATACTGTGGCTCGCTCACCCATTTTTTTCCCATTGTTGCTGCATACTGGAATTCGAAAGAGGATGCGCATGGGAACGGCTGCCTGACACGCGCCCTTTTATTCGCAGTGAACTACAGCATACATATATTGGTTCTGCATGGAACGCAACGGGAACGGTTCTACCCTCGCGCTGAGTAAAGGTTCACTTTCAACCACTGGCAATAGGGAGTGTCGTACCGCGGCTATGCCTGGTCTTATATGAACCGTTGGAGAGGGACGATCGTACTTGCCCCTGAAAAATCTTTCTCTTATGTACTCTTCTCGGTTTTCCTTATTCCAAATGTGTTACATACAACCCCTCGCTCCCCCTCCCCACCCCCGTCCCTCCCGCTCGACGACATTTTTTTTGGAAGAAACTCCGGATTCCCGTAAGAAGTTGGAAAAATTGAGGAAGATGGTAAATGGGTAGGGTTGGGATGAGAAAGGGTGGAGTTGGGGTCATACCAGGGGGAAGAATTTAGAGAGGGAGACGAACAGAGACGTACATTGCAAATGTTTTCCCTGATGGCAGGACGTGCCCAGCCTAGCAGAAGTCCTTACCTCACCTCCACTACGGAAATCCCAGTTCTCCCATCCAAGCTCTTCTCTCATCCCCTCCAAGCTTATTAACGTCCCTCATCGTTACGGAATCCCCATCAAAAGATATCCTGTTGGCGTTCTTGGGAGGGGTTTGTTAGTGGAAATGGGTGCGGAAGAAGTGTGAGTCTTTGGGGAAACTTTGCGATGGTGGACATCGGTTTTCCCATTTTTAGTGTAGCCTCTCACTAATTTGGGAATAAAAGACTGGGTGACTTGCGGTCCTATTTGGCGTAAGTTGTGAAAAAGGAGTCACAAGCGGAATACCAACCCCATCTCTGAAAAGTGATTGTTGTGAAACTGACATCTACCACATTCCTATGGCGTGCCATGGCTACGATAGCCCTTTACCCAAGGATGCGCTTGATTTGTCCTGGCAGAGAAATGGGAATCTATACAAAACATAAACAGCAAATTTCACTGTCATAATACAGTAGTATGAAATTAGGACAGAACATTACCTTCCTGAGAAAAACCACAAGACTTGCGTTGAGAATGCTTTCGAGGACTCACCTTTGTTCGAGCCGGGCAATGCTTCAAAGATGAAAAATGGCTCTTCGGTGTGGCGGTTGCCTAGAGAAAATCGAATATTTCTGAGCGACTGTCGAGGGGATTCCTAGAAATGCTCATATGCGATGGGTTTCGTTTCTATTTCAGTCCCACGTGCCGGCTCGGTAACTACGGAAACGACCGTCACTTGTTATAGGATTCACTACAGCAGCAGCGACATACTAGTGCACTTTCCCCCGTACGTATCGATTTACAAGAGCTTTTCTCCAAGGATTTTTTCTACTGGAAAGGACAAAGCTACCGTGCTGTCTTATCACAATCTTGAATACGCCGTACTCCATTCGTGATTCTCCGAATCTCAAAAAAACATGATATTTTGGTGTTCCTTGCCCTTTGGTGGGAAAACCCCCATAGATTAGAGGTGGTCTTTACGTAGCTGCACGTAACAAATTCGTTCTCTGCAAACATAACATACGTAACCAGATTATAAGAGTAGCGGTGTGATAAGGCACAAAGCGCCACATCTGATCGTCCCGCTCACCGTACTAGTTCCCTGAGATCAAGTCGATACCATCGCCAACGCAGTTCCACCCTTGAAGGTATTCGAATGTTTACAGGCATCTCCAGGGGTCAGTGCGACTGCTTTGGTATCGAGCAGGAACTCTTGCCTCCGTATGTACAGGATGCCTGTATGTAATCAGGTATAGCGAAGGACGATGGAGGGTGGTGGTAATCAAGTACGACTCTTTCCACTTCCCTACACCAAATTCTTTCGATCTTTTCCACATTTCGGCCTAGCTATCTGAAAGACTGGCGGGGAGAGGTTTTCTTAAATGAACTGGCTAATATAGGAGCAATAAGGAGACGGCCAGAAAGTCACCGCCGGCGCGATGTTTGCATGTTTGAACATGTTACACTCCTTATCCCTGAGACGGAGTAGGCGTGGCATTTGGAACATGGCATAGGATGGGTTACTCGTGGGATATTTCAGTTTGAGACAACTGCCATCTTGTTCTGTGTTGGACAAAGACATGATTACAGCTGTCCAAAATGAAAATACCTCAAGAAAAGCTTAGCTGCCACCACGTCCAATACAGGTACGCAGCCACGCCTACCGCATCTCGAGGATTTTTGGTATACCTGCTTGAACACGTTCTTGCGATGGAAGATGGGGACCATTCGCTGCGCGCGGTGACCTAGTTTCAAGCGCGGTGGTGAGTCCTGTCACACACCGCATTATAGTGGTTTTGCTTCTCCACTGGCCAAGTGCATTTTTGTGAAAACTCATGTTTTCGTCATTAGAGACACATGTTGCGTGGGTGCAAGTGGTGACCGCCGGGAGAGAAAGGTAAAAAGCACAACAGAACAGAAAGATAAGCGAGATGTTCAATGCTTGGATAGGAGCGGAAGGCCACTAGTCCCTGGGCGCGGCTGCCAACTGGTGGGTGGGGTTGCTCCGGCGACGGACCGCCTTGGCACCCTAGTCATGACTTTCGAGCAGCGAAAGTTGCACAACCTCTCCTTGGAAGCAAAGATTCGCCTTTCTTGTGCCACATCACTGTGTCCAGATCGAAAAGCTCTCGGCAGAAATGTAAATCGAAAGTCGCTCAGTTCGAGCACATGCCAAGAATATTAGCAATCTTGTCAAGCAAAAACTATTGGAGAGTCGATCTTAGATCACTCCTTATCGTCCACTTTACAACCGTTTTTTCAGCTGCCTCAGCAGTCTCATGTTATCAGTTTATAACGAAAGACATGCACGAAAAAAGTGACAGGACCGAGTCAGAGTTCATTTGCTTCTAATGCACTGCAGTGCGACTCACTATTTTGGGAGTCCCTCCAGTTCCGATATACGGTATTAGCGCATCATCTAAAGCCATCTAAAGCGACATCTAAAGCCGCTTATAGGCATTCGATTCTGTCGTAGGTACAGTCATTTCCGCTGCAGAGGCTGGGGTGAACCACGGGAGGGGTGCGGGTTTGGCGCGGTGTCAGCCTGTTCTCGACCAGTCGCCGAAGCAGGCATGCGACAGCACCTGGTGGAGAACAGGCCGCGTTACGTTCCAAACCTAGCCTCCTGACGCGCCCCAACGTCTACAGCGAGAAAGACCGAATAAAGAGTTCACCGAGTTCGTGGTCTGAGCAAGTTGGGACAGTGACTAGAAACAAATCTTTGTGTGACCGTTAGAAGGCATCTCCTTGGAGGCGGTTGAGCCTCTTTCCTCTTAAACATGATTCCTTGAGACCCTAACATAGTTCAGATGAGGTGGGCGCATAGCAGCTTGTGCCTCCCTACACTTCCCCTGATCATGGCGCAGGTTTGTGGGTACTGTCATTCACCAGCCGCATGCTCTCGTTGTACGGCGCTCATAGGCATTTTCTGAGGAAGGCTTACAGGGGAGAGTAGTCCCCTAATTGGCCCTCTCTAATCTAGTCCTTAAAAGTGTACTTGGCAAACAAATTCACACAAATGCCTTCATGTGACAGCCCTTTTACAGGACTACGGTAGCTGGCAAAGTACGAGGTCAATGGGTTCTTGACGCGATATTGCGGCACTGTTTCCCTATTTGGGGTCGTTTAGTTTTATTACTCTTATATATATGAGGTGTTTGTAAAACCCATTCCAAATTTGGGTTATTGCAGTATTCAGATGCGAGTAGGCCATGGCGGGAACGTAAGAGAAATGGTGTATCAGATCTCCCAAGGGAGAAAGATGGGCAGATTTACGAATGAAAAAAAGGCGCGACAATAATGAAGCAGTTTAATCCGTGAGTCCTTTCTAGTGGTGCTAACGTATTTGGGGGGACCACGCGGCTCGCGGCGAGTGATGACTCATCGACTCTTCTGCTTCCTCCTCGGCAAAATAGAAGTAATTTTATATTTAGGACGAGGATATAACACCATTATCTTAGCTATTTCACGTTGTTAAAATAGTCAACGCTGAAAAGTGTGAGGAAAAAATTGTAGGCTGGAAGGTTCTACCGCAAAAGATTGCTGCCTGCTTGTTGTTTACTGTTATTGTTGACTACGACAAATCAAACACTTGTTTTCAGCTTCTGTGGGGTTTCTTAGCAAATTCCCGGTGTATCTTGTTTGTTTTATTTCCATTTGGCCGCTGAATGGCGCTTCAAGTATGCCTATTAGTGAAGAGCCGATGAGTCATCACTCGCCGCGAGCCGCGTGGTCCCCCCCAAATACGTTAGCACCCTACGGTCGGCAGCTAGAATTCAAAATGATTCTCGACGTGATGCCATAATTCATAAATTTTTGCGTCTCCTGGTAACCTACAATTTAAGGACCCGTGAAAAGAAGCGACAAGAAGAAACAGAGACTGCAAAAAAGGTCGAGGAACTCAGAGCAGAGAACGAAAAGCTCGAAAGACAGGTAGTTATTGGTTTCAGTTTGTCATAGATCAAGCGTTAGTCCCACATAAGTCTGCAATCGAACACGTTAATGTTAAATGCTGTTTGTATTCTCCAAGTTCTCCCTTCTTGTAACCTCGGCATGATGTCGAATATTTAGTTATTTCTGCCAAACGAGGTTATTAGATAGAACCTTTTATTGGCCCGACGTTTCGACCTTCTCGTCTTCTTCAGAGGCCTGAAAAATGGCTCGACACCTTTCACTTTGAGTCGCCTACGCCGAACAAGCGCCTTCCCCCCCCTAGCGTGAGCTAGGGCTATGCATCGGTGGAACCTCGGCGAGTGTGAGGCGTAGTTATTGCTCTCGGGGTGTTCGGGAGCTCGACTTCGGACGCTAGAGTGGGTGAAGGCGATGATCGGTTAGTGTGACAAAGTTGATAGTCGATCAGCCATTTTCAGGCCTCTGAAGAAGACGAGAAGGTCGAAACGTCGGGCCACCAATAAAAAAGGTTCTATCTAATAACCTCGTTTGGCAGAAATAACTAAATATTCGGATGTTTGTATTATTTGTGGGGGGGGGGCAACTCGGCGACGGGGAGGGCATTTTGCATTTTTGCTACTTCCGATCGACGTGTCGACCCGCCCCATCTGGGGAGCTGTTTCATGAGCTTACAGGAGTTGACAGGTTTTAACATGATGGTTCGACGGCCTTACTCCGCTTCACAGCAGCACCATAGTTCTCACCAAGTAAGACATGTTAAGCCAGATCTCGCGAGAGCGGCAGAATCCTATTCCCCCGTTGCCAAAATTGCGCCCCTTTCTATTAATTCGAGGTTATTTGCTGAAGCCTTGGTGATGGCAGTTCGTGGAGTTCGTGGCGGTAAACGTACTGGGGAAATTCGTACTTGAGGTATCCTGACACATCATACTAGCAATATTCTATCAACGCCTGTCAGCTGCGGATATCACCGTATTGAATGCATTCTTGTCTTGACGTTCGGCTAAGAACATCTTCTTAGAAGCCTAAAATATTTCAGTTTTCCTGGTGGATACAAGATCTGTGGGTAATCTTAAGAAAAAAAAAAGCGAAACAGGAAAGGGAAGAAACTCACCCAGCGTTCAACCTTTTGTGAGGAAGAATCCGCTGCCACAGTTAAGCGTTAATAGCACGCAATACATTTCATTTGTCCTCTGGTAGTAGCAATAATCAGGAAACGTACCTAGAGCTTTTTACAAAATGCGCAGCACTTCCACCTCCAACGATACTGATCCTAGGAAGACGGGCGAGAGTCGTACGTTGCCTCTTCATTGCGCGGCGACGGGTGCAACGTTTCCTTAATTTGCACTACCCATTCTATGCATGGGCGATCCATGTTTACAAGGACATGGTAGACACTTATGCCTACTTTTGGCCATACATTCTTTATTCTCGACCAATACCATCTAAAATCGTCGTCATTAGCAGGTGCGACGTCGCACGACGAAGCTGGCGTGGCGAATTACGATTCTCTTTGCCACATACACCTGAAATGAGTAAAGAGCTTACCCAGGGTCTGGCGGGTGGTGACCACTTCATGGCTTCCCGGTGCACACCCGCAGACAAAGAATTCGCAAAACACGCAAATGCACCGCAGGACGCAAGCGCAAGGCCAGCAATAGCCGCATGCGCTAAGTTGTCTGCTGCCCCTGCACATTTGCTCATTTGCTCGCTCACATGCTAACTGCTTATAGGTATCTCTACAAAAAGAGCTATCTTTCCTAAAAGAAATGTTTGTCGCCTACACGAGTGGAGGTAAAAAGACTGCTAGCGATGTACCGTCTTCGTCATCAAGTTCAACTTGAATCATCACAGATTAGTATAGGTTCTCTGATTTTGTTTATTCTGTGTTACGGGTATTAGATAGTTTTAGATAGTGACACCATTGTATATTGTACCTAGTATCCAGTTTTTTTTTGTATATAAAGTGTGTTGCCTGGAATATCGAATGAAATTTTTAACTGTAGTTCTTTTTGAATAAGTAAATACACTGGAAGCTCGGTCCCGTATTCCTATATTGCATTAAATAGAGCTAAATAGCTGCTCTCTAATTCAAGAAGTAGTCCATAATCCTAAGGGATATTTACAGATCAAGTGGTATTTACATCACTCCCTCTAAAAGTTGGAGCGCGTTCATGCTTAGCGATCGCTCGAATGTGGATCGCGCGATCCAGTTGAGCGATCTTGACTGGGGATGCTCCACCGCCAAACGGTGCAACGTCGCAACGACACAGTTCAAATTGGGCCACGTGCACACAGCCTAAGACAACGTTCAGACTTCGCGATCCGATCGCGCGAGCGCAAGCGTGAACATGCTTTAGGCCTAAAGTGGTGCAAAACTCCCTTCTGGACAAGGGGATCGTTTCATCTGGGCGCTGATTCCCCAACATTGTTTCTTGGGCGTGAGCAAAAATCTTTATTCCCATAGTCCCGGTTTTGCTCACGGAAATATGCTCTATCATGTGGGAGTAATGCCCCTTCGAAAACGCTAGAGATAGGGCGTGCAAGTGGCCTGTGATTGGTGGCCGCATTGACCTTCCAATGACTGGTATTTTCTGCACGTCCACGTGTCACCAAACTAGATCAGGCTGTGCTTTGATCCCATTACATTCAGATCACCATATGGTTGATGAAGCAACCGCTGCTAGATTCGCGCAGGTTGCACGCGAATGCGCGAAAACGTCTAAGGAGGCGCTTGAAAACGCTGAAAAGTTTATCGGCGTTCTGAAAAATGCTGAAACAGGCAGAGAGGTGCGTTTTCTCAGAGTTTATTTGTTAGCCTACTTTCGTTGATGTCTTGAGATATGTGTTAGCCACTGAAGAAAAAGTTCTCGCTGCAACTTTGGAACTGAGCGTCCCTATCACGAATATAGCGTTCATCTCCTGGGATGGCACCATTCGCAACAAAATTGAAGGTGCAGTCGCAAGAGTTGTAATGTTCGTTTTCGTGACTCGGGCATTCGATTATCAATTCACCTGAAGTTTTAGTGAGAAGTTGTTCTACCTTACTGAGGTATAGTTGCAGAATAGTGTTCAATCATTCTTACGTATTTTATCTCTTAACGCTTCATTACGTGTTGCAATACCGTTTTCACTTTCTAGGGCATCAGCTTGTTGGATGTGAAGAATCGTGAAATGCTGTGTTATATGGCTGAGTTGTCGCTACTGATGAGCCAAATGAGCTGCGGGAGATCCATTAAAGATCATCCTGCTGTATATCGAGCTTCCAAGCATAGAACGGCAAGTTGCTATTTTAGCTAGTATTGAGCTAATTACTTTTTATTCTTAACGATAATGCTTCAGTTTTAATTATTAATCGATTCCATGTATACTCGAAATCTCTGAGATCGGGTAGGCGTGGCCGCATGCTTCAACTTAACGTGGAGGTGTCTGTGCTTGCCTCTGCCGTGCCTCTGTCCAACACAGAACAAGATGACAGTTGTCCCAGACTGGAATATTCCACGAGTAACCAGTTCCGTGCCATGTTCAAATGCCACGCCTACTCTGGCTCAGGGATAAGGAGTGTAGCCA